CAAATTATCACTAACGCAACTTCATGTGTTTAGATGGGTGTCATACGCAAAATTCTTTCACAAAATTGTTAACCTGGGATGAAGAATGTAGCCTCTATTCAAGAAATACACTCATTTGCAAATCAATTTGGTTTTTCACGAAAGACTCAAATGAATCTCTCGTTTATGATATTCTACAACTGAATGTGCTGCTGATGGAAACTCAGGGACTGCGCCTACCTGATGAGCCCCAAAAAGGGGCGAAACCGGTCGTGGGCTGTCAAAGAGTTTTCATCAACCTTGTGAGTAGTTTCCTTTATGAAAATATACTGCGATGTCTCGAATATCGTGCCAACCGAATCATGAGGCGGTCTGTGTGCAGCAAATTCAGTTATAGAATATCATAAACGAGAGATTCAGTTGAGTCTCTCGTGAAGAACCAAATTGATTTGCAAATGAGTGTATTTCCCGAAAAAAGTCCAATTTGGGTTTAAGTAGAACATAAAGTTGACGGAAACTCGGGGTCTGCGCCTACCTGATGAGCCCCAAGAAAGGCGAAACCGGTCGTGGGCTGTCGAAGAGTTTTAAGCAAACTTCTGAGTAGTTTTCTTTATGAAAAAATGAAGCCTCTAACTTTTTTCAATGTTTCGATTAATTTAGCTGCTCACCTTACACTACTTTTAGCTCCACGTCCGATGACAACCTACGAGCTTCATCTCTCACCTCTCGGTGTTCCCACAAGAGAACGACCCGTTGAACCCAGCCTCAAACACTGGTATCCTTCCGGTGGTTACTTACTACGAAACGGAACCGTTCAATCAACAGCTCCGAATGGAGCCATCCGCAATGGAAGTATTCAAAACGACTTGATTATCGAGCACGCGTACCCCTCCAAACTGGGAACGGAGAACCCAAGACCTAAGGTTGGTCAAACCCCTCCTGCTGCTGAAAACAAACCAGTCGAATGCGTTTATAAGTAAGTTTTAAAACTGAAGTGCGATGGTGCATAGATCCACGTGGTAGTTTTTCTGGGATAAACGATGGTTCCAAATTTTGTACCTAAAAATTGGGCAGATGCTTGAGAGAAAGGTGCTTAGCTAGACGGCATTTTACCAGAATTCTTTGATGGCCATGAGCCTCTGTTAGGCTCATTACTCTACACCTTTTTCCAAGTGTCTAGATGATTATAGACACACACGGTCGCATATGGAGGTATAAGCATACATACACAATCAAATTCTACGCGTTTATATATGTTAGGGTTTTGTACACTCTTCGTTGGCCAGTTCGGTTTGTTACGCTGGTGTTGACCACAGTATGAAAGATATTATTATCTTAGTGAAAAAAACTTTAAAATCCTCTTTCTGACAAGTAGAATAAACGCACACGTCAAGTTAGATAACTTGAGCACAAGCTATTGAGTTGCACTCAGTTTTTTATTGGAATTGAAATTAAACGCAAATTTTACCAATGTTCATTGCCTCTGGTATTTAGAAGCGCAGTTCCTAATGCCGTGCCCAGAGACCAGCAAGACACCAAGTTGTTCCCGTCCAATCCAGTTCAACACCGATTGCCAGAGTATCTGCCCAACGTTACGAGCTTTGGTCGCTTTGCTCCGATGCGTCAGACCATTCATGCCTACCGTCCAGAAATCGAAATTCGCCCAGAATCACCCGGCGTGGCCGAATCAAAGGATTCGCCGGCTGTACAACCTAGGATCAATTTGTCAAAGATCGATGCTGAGGAGTCTTCGGTCCTCGAAGAGGTACATGACTCTCCGAAATCGAAAGGCTTGCTACGCTCCTTAACATCACGGTTTACCAAGAGGTAAGCATTATCGGATTCTCCTATAGAACATAAATTGACCGGCAAAACTGCTCTTACCAACATGATAATAAGGTGCGGCGCTTTTCACACACACACACACACACACACAGTTGAGTTCTACCTCGTTTTCGCCTGTTTTGCCAAAAAAACTGCTAGCTTAGAGAAGCCGAATAAAGGATACTTTCTCTTAAAGGTTCCACTGTTATGGTGAAATTTTCAATTCTAGGCGTTTTACGGGGAGACGTTATTCCCACCTGAGAACGTCAAACAAAGCGGTGTGAGGGAACTCTTATCATAGAAACCTAGCAAATGCATTTACCTACACTTGTTTTACTAAGGTGCACACAAAAATGTCCCTGCTATTCACTCCATACGATTCTTTGTCTCTACCATGATACTCTCGCGACAAAAACTTCAGATCCAAGTGCTAATCTGTGCAAGATGCACGCAGACCACGTGACTTTTCTCGGATAAACCGGTCACCTTCTCAGCTCGCTTGGTAATCAGTTGGCCTGATGGTACCTACCGAAATTGCTTTGTCCAAATTACTCGGGTAGCTACACTTATTTCATTGCCACCTGCACTTTACCAGAACAGTTATTTTATTCCAAGAACCGCGATTTACCCGCTATTCTGACCGTGCCCAAGTGGTATTGTCTAAGACCAACAACAAAGTAAATCTAAAATACGCAGGGTAATTCCTTCAAATCAGAACAAGGATGTTCGGATAAGGGGAGTGGATAGCATTAGCATTTAGGAAACTGAAGACCATATTGAATTTCGTTAAAAATGTCTATGAATGCATGGCCTTTTTGAACAAAAGGCTATTCATGAGATTTTCATCAACGTCGCCTAGCCACCCCAGTGTGATTTTGACAAAACTATGGAGGAAGGATAACCTCTTTACACAGCGTACTCCCTTATACGGACTGGGGTCGCTGAATCCCCAAGGGTAGCCCAGTGCTTGGACCATTTCAGAAAGAATTCATTTTATTGGGAAAAATAGTATTGATACCACAATCGATTCATGCCAAGGAACGTTTGTCAGATTAAGACCACCTGACCACAAGTGAAGTAGTACTGCACTGCAATTCCAAGTTTTCTGTTCTTACCAGGCCTTCCACTTTGAGGCTTTTGATGTTTATGTGATTTATTCTGAACATGTGTAATAAAACAGAACGTTTGATAAGTGATTGTTACTTTCAAATGGAACTTGGTGATGTGGGTAAAGTGGTCAGCAGCACAATGTTGTCGATAAAAGAAGTTCGAAGAAGAGTTTTATTAGCTGAAGAGTTCGCCGAAGTTGTGGAATTCCCGGAGTTTCGGCAGAGTTTTTTGATGAGATGGGGGATTGCCCTAATCCTGTAACTAAGTATACGGGTAATCAGCTTGTCCAATGTTTTTCTTGGTTGTCACTTTCATCGCATTCGGAGATTTATTGATTTTTGTCGATTCAGCGTACGATTCAGCGTGTTTTGCCACTGCCCCGTTGAACAGCGTTCGGAAGGTAGCCATTTGCTTCAGTTTGTGTTGTGGTCTGAACAGCACGGGGGATGAAACATCCTGTTTTTGGATAGTAGAACACGTTCAGGTTGGTCTCGTGCCTGTAGAGTTCTGAAGATGAGAATTACTTAATATGGAGACTCAGCATTTGCATCCATTCAGGGCTTCTAACAAGTGATCCGTTGTTTTGATGGATGCCAAACTGAATTAGTTGATGCTCTACAAGTGTTTTAGATCACACGAACATTTCGATCGTCTTCTATTGCAGCCAGCTATGAGCACTCGTTCTACTGTCGTCATCATCAGACTATCATCATTGTCAGACTTTTGGGGAGGTACTTGACGATTTCTATCAAATCATCTTGAAAATTTTAGTGGGGCGCCTTTAAAGTGAGACAAACAGGTCTTGAGTAGAAGGAAAAGAATTTTGAACACATTTCCTTCAGGTCGTTGGGGTCAAAGTAACAAAATTAGGAAAGTCAAATAACTCATGTAGCAAATCAACGTTATCTGTGCAGAGATGGACAGAGTTGTTGCGAAATGGTTTTATCTCTTTCCCACCGGAGGTGCTTTTCCACTCGGGCACGTTGAAAGAAATTAGTAGTGCATCGATGCCGGTGGAAATCTAATTATATATGACAGTGCTGTTAAGATGGATGCCCAGTTTAGTAACTCAGATATTACGTGAAGCTTGGCAGCTTTGTGGTCCACTGTATATTGGACAACTGAATGGGACAAAAATGTACTAAAAACACTTCCACAGATAACCGCAAATTTAACCGTTCAAACTTAGTCATAGGATGGAATTATGAAGCCGTCTTCGTGGTTGAATGTCTTTTGTTATACTGTCTCGGGATAAGCATATATTTAGTGTTCTCGTTTCATCTATTTAGCCGAGGCAGAGAGACAGAGAGACAGAGAAAATACTCAGTTCTCCTTTGGAGGAACTTTCCTCTGTGTCGCTTCTAGGGGAGGTCCAATCTGTCACGTCTGGCTGGTTGTGGCTATGGTTGAAATTTTGTGTTGATCACTCCACCACGGCCTCACTAGTCGCAATGATCTCTTTTTTATTGCTAGACATTCGCCCTATCGTATTGACATTGACACAGAAGAAGAATCTGAAATGCTCCCGAAACAGGATGCTCCAGAACAGAGAAGGTCAGAAATGGCTCACGTCAATGAACACGAATGGCCTAATTGCACTTCTCAGCGGGTGACTTACGTTGGTGCACGACAGACGGAGTGTGACATGAACTATGCTGAGTCGCCTCAGCCTACGCAACACGAAATCCCTTCCGATATCCCGACTTACGCGGTCTCGGAGCATAGTTCAGCTACTCGCGATCCTCGAGAACCACATGATCGCACACCTGCTGGATTTTTCCGTTCGGTAGCCCAACGCTTCAGTAGGAGGTAAATTTAACTATTTACTCAAGGCTCTTCAAGCCGTTGCAAATATGATGCGACTGGTCACCTGTCTCATCTTGCCTTAAATACCATCTTTCATTGGACATCAAATCTCAATTTATAATTCATGGCTTATATGAGTTCCAATAGTACAGGATTATGCGAAGGAATATAAAGCCATGCCATAATTTCGGTGCCAATTCCTGTTCCTCTGCAACTCGAAGTGGATTTGAACTCTTTTCATTCATTGACCCCCAAATATGATGTTACCAGGTTTCCTTCACTTTGTGACGCAACAAACTCACCGATAGTACCGATTTCATTAGACTCTTTTGATGCTGTAGTTAACTGAAGGTAGCTTATCTCAGCATGGTTATCTATAAATCCGCCTTTTTTAGTGATTAGCAAACTACAACTGCATAATCGCTTATTGGCACTTATACCTCTAGCCCACCATATTTAGTCCCAGTTTTTTCAACATACAAACCCACAGAGGTATTAATTTATAGATAGCGATCATTTGAAGAAGAGATCTCTGCATTCCCTTATGCTAGCCCAACTTTAGCGAGAACAGTAGTATGATCGGTATTGGACACTACAGATGTTCTACAATCATCTTGGTAATACGATTGACGGGACCATCGGGCGATTTTCTTTGATCCTTTGGCCGGTTAGTCTGCACGAAAAAGAGGTCATTCAACGGAGAGTAAAATGTCCTAGACAAGTGCTTTCCAGCTACAGTTATCAATCGGATAATGAGAGGTTTCCTTCCCCAGGGGAGAACGTCGAGATAGCAGCGCGCGCAGCCAGCGGCATCGTTATCTATCGAACCAGCAGGGCCAATAACAAAGGTACTAGTTTTGGACTACCTCTATACGACTACCCATTAATTAAATCAGAAAGCATTTCAGAACATATAATACACTGGAAACACTAACAGATTACAGTGGACCTAACAGGTGTGCTGAGACCGAGGCCGATATATTAAGTTTACAGTGCTCTCAATTGATTTTTGATGGTTGATGTTTTGCGACAATGCAATACTTTCTGATTATTCTTCTCTATACTTGGTGTTTTACATTAACATAAAAATTTTCTCCGTTTTAAGTTATGCGAATATGATAGAATCTGATAGCCATCCTCCGAGTTATCTTCCTGGTGCTTTGGTCCAGGTGTGATCCGTCTCGGTGAATATTACCTTTTACTCTGGCACCACGGAGCATCTGAGTTTTGGGTAACCCTGCGTAGGGCTGTTGAACACAGTTCATATTGGTCACCTTTCTAAAAAGAATTCACTTTTGCATCTTGCAACGTCTGACGGATACACACGCGCGGGCAATCGCGCTTCGCCAGTCAACCGCAAAAGCGGACTAATAAAAAGCCAACCGGTTCCTTACCCCATTATCATTCTACGTCACCGGTCTTAACTTAAGTCTGTATCTCTTACACCGTGCCAATAAACTTTGGGATACCACCTTGTCGTTCTTATCAAGACCATTTAGCTTACATACTACTTGCTACCAACCTAACTTATTCATCTGTTGATGATGGGGAGATATTTCAACATCCGTGCTAATTGTGGTCCCTTTTTCGAGGAGAGGGGTTCACTTGATGACCACATTATTTTGCCAGTGTGGCTAGTTAAGTAAGCAGCCAATATAAAATATATGGGTTTTAGAAATATCCTTTGGCTCAACTGCAGAGTCAGACACTTTCCTCGCTTACTTCTATCAAAAATATGTCCAATAACTAAACAAGGGGAACGCAAATTCCTCAGTAGTGAACCACTGTGTCTGTCGAGTATATTTGGAGTTTGGGGGAAGGTAATTAAACAACACCACTAGTTCAAAGGCCTGACCTGTACTATGATAGAGGCGTTCTGTTCAAATCAGTCATCCATCATCACTGTAATGATGGACAGCATGACATCAGTGTTCAACACTGATGATTCGACCGATGCTTACGACCGGGGTCAACCTGATCCCCCCGTGGTTACCACAACCACAATGAGCCTCTTTTTTGAAAATGGGTACCCTCACTGAGTCTTCCCAGTTGTCTGGGACAGACTGCGTTTCCCAAATGCAAGCAAATAGATCAGACAAGCGCTTACTGAGGAATTCACCCCCATCTTTGATCAATTCGGGTGGAGGGTCACCCAAACCAGAAGCTCGGTGATGCTTGAGAGAACATATGCAATCGTAAACCTCCAAGGCTGAAGGTTGTTCCGCGTTCACCGTCCAGGGTTCTACATCAACTGTGGGCTTCAGATGAATGGCAGCTGCCGGCCGTGACAACTGTTGTTCGAAGTATTTGGCCGAACAGTTGAGGCGTTCTTCTTTATTCACTCCCTTCTGATCCTTGATGGTTTTGCTCACCGGTGGCTTCCGGGGACTGATTGCACGGACCAAATAAAATAACCATCGGAAACCCAGAAAACTTAAGGTTTAGAATACGATTCATCAAGAATCCGTTATTTTTTATTTTCGTCCTGCATGCAAAAAATACTTATAGTTTCAGACCAAAGCTCCACAATCATATGGAGACCCCTCAGTTTGACACTTTTTACCATTCTCTTTAGAACATATAACAAACCGGGCTTCACTGTCGGATACGAACGAATGTTACGATTGGACGAACTGGAGTATCTATTGCTGTAAATTGAACATTTGACCACAAACAAAATACCCCCATACAAACCGAGAAACTACTACTTTCCGTATGCAATTTGAATTATTGATAATCCGGTCACTGCAGTTTGTCAGTAGCCAGTAGGATGAGGTAGTGTGAGTGGATAGGACAATTGCATAGGATGGCAAATGATCTGATACCAAGATGTGAACAGTGCAAATTTTACGCCAGTGCAAAACCTCTGGCCTCGTTGGCGCGTTTCGTACTGCCATGTTCACAACCTCGTACATATGTGTCTCCAGGGTCAGTAGAGCCCACCGAATAAGTGATTAGTTTGTATAAAAGTTATCCGTAGTACCACAATACTCTTGATCATTTCAGAGTGAAAATATTGGGGATAACACGCCGAATATTCTAAGTAAAACCGTCCAATGGATCTGGGCACCAACAGTCGTCGGACAGTATGAGTTGACATGCGAGCCATGCGGTTCATAAATCACTATAGTCCCTTCCATAAGCGTGTAGATGGCTGAAACACCAAATTCTACCTGAATAATGCAGTAATTTTCAACGTTCACTTCTTTACATCTTTGGGTTGTTTCCTCAATGACGGATTAAGATTTTGCATTACTTTCGGGCATACAACGGTTCACCTGCCACATACACCAACTCTCATCAACCCACATTGAGTGGTTTTGTTAGGTTAGACGTTTAACTAAGACGAGCATATTTGCAATGGGTCATCCATTATTAGTCTCAAACTCAGCTCAGAGTTTGTTGCTTCGGGATTTTGTGTATTCTCTTGCGGTCACACAGTTATTAGCAGCAGTCGAAATGTTCGAGGACCAACTAGGAAGTAAATGGTGGCTGTCTTACCTTAGATCAGGTTAACTGAGTAGTGTTCACAGAACATATGGGGAACGAAGAAATACAGGACTTAGGTCTGGAACAACTGGGACACCTAAACAGACAAAATCACGGGTCAAAAACGACAACATCCCACTCGACGCTAGTAATCTGGAGAGCTTGAGTCAATTTCCCTAACTCAACGCGTTTCTGAAACTAGGTCACGTTCATCATGTGAGATTGACTGAATCAGCCTATCCGTCGTTCAGTTCCTTTATCGAATGCTGGCACACTCTATACCGTTCTCTCTACATATCTCAAAATGTCATCTTTTCTATACTCGACTCCACCGTTATATTTGATTGAAGCTGACATCGTACGAAACATATCATTACGTTGAGAGCTTTGTCAAATATGATCGTATCACCTGATTTCTGACTATTATGGACCAGTCTTATTCACACCGATATAATGGTGATCTCCAATGGCCAGACGCACCCAAAATAATCAATGATGAGTGAATCAGCCACATCGATTGAAGTGCATAATAATCACACCGACAAAGGTTCTGCAGTTGAGGGATGTGACATGTAGATACATATATCTAAGACAAAGTTTGGGTAAGCTGTCAGCGAGCCGTATCTACACACTCGTTTGAATGGTTTCGCTTGTCTCCTATCGTGATGGTTCTGGTAAGGCCACATGAAAGCAAGAGGCAGCGGTTTCGAGTTTCTTTCACATAAGAGCTCAGTGGCAGTATAAGGCCAACGCGCACTATCAACAATCCATCTGATAACCTGAAGAGCTAGTTATTCGATTGACAGAATCACGATGACTGCTAGATCGTTTCTCGAAGACCAGTCACTTCAATCGTCTTGTGAACGTCACCGGCGCCTAGCTGCTGACACGGCAGTGACAAACTCATTCTGTGTCAGATTCCGGAGTTCGAATCCGGGATTAGTGCTGTTTGTTAGCCTCAACAAGAGACAGCCTCAGGTAAAACGAATTGATCAGTTCGTCACAAAATTTTGGGAACATCTTACATATGTCGTTTTATTTCCAATACAGGAAATACAATACTAACGGATCTGCTGGAAGTACACCGTCTGACTACCCCGTTAGCCGGACCTCCAATGTGTCCTTGAAAAGCAAAGATTCTGCACTAAATTCAAACGCAATGCCGCAGTCAATTCTTGACTCCGTCCGCCAGGCTCCACCAAAGATTAGAAGTAACACCGATACACCATCACCTCACGTTCGTCGTTCCGTTTCCTGGCATAAACCCAAACAGGAAACAGACCCTGTGGATGTCCCTCCGGCTGTTTCGCAAACAAATGATCAAATCAAGCCGCGAGTCTTTCGTTTCACTTGGTCAATGAAGGCCACAAGTAAACGGCCAGCGGATGAAATTCTACAAGAAGTAAAGCGAGTTCTGGACCGGTTCGGCTATTCCTATGATCAACAACATCGGTATTTGCTACTGTGTGAAGACAAGTCACATTCGGGTGCCACTCGACCGGTCAGTTGGGAGCTGGAAATATGTGGAGTCCCACGACTTAATGTGAACGGGATTCGATTTAAAAAGATTTCCGGAACATCGGTCGCTTGCAAGAGCATTGTGACCAACATTTTCAACAATTTGAGCATCTGATAGAAGTATTTCGGTTCAGAGCTTTGATTTACCTAGGTCGACACTTGATGAACAGGTACGCTGATACGAACAGACTAACTGGTGTTCTCCAAACACATCCACGTACTCAGGAACCCTAGTTATCCCACGTCGTGTCTATCCCGACTATAACACGCGCGAATACCAACAGTGTTTCTTCACATTCTCTGTAGCATGGGGTTATGCTGATGTGTCTAACCCACCTGTGATAACAAGTGACTTTCGATTTCCTTAGTTGCTTTCAACCTAACATCAGTACCAAAGCAATGAGTTAGTGTTTGAGTCAGCCGTCGGAGAGCAGATTTTATCAACCTTTTGCCTTATGTGTTTCTGCATATATGTTCACATTTGCACCGCTGTGATCTAAGCGTCATTGTCTCAACGATTTAAGACAATTTGAACAACCGGTGTGTATCACCTCATATTAACTCCTTTGTGCATGATAATAATACTGTTTAACAGCGCCGTCCCATTTTTCTGTCATCTTTATTTGCCCTTGTAAATCCCACCACCTAGAGTTAACTTTGACGCATGTAGTGTTGGCACAACTCTCTCAGATGCTGCCCCTTCCGGGGACGCTTTTTTAGTACCATGAACTGCTTTTCTACTTTCCCTCTATACTTTTGCTCAATTTTTCAAGATATTTACCTGAATTTTCGCACACACACATACTGATAAGCCAATCATTGGAATTTTGATTTGTAGTTTCCGAAAGAGCGCGTGGGTAGGCTGGGTTCGGGGTGATGTATTTGGGAGGGTGCTCCCACCGACCAACTATTACGAATGACCATTGAAGACGCTACATTCAACTTCGGGTGCAGTTGTATCCATGTCTTACCACAGTATGACCTGAATTATGTTCTTGAAGGCAGTGGTTCAGTCGTCAATTTGTACAGCTGTAGGGAACACATGCACTAGCGTTTTTACACAAGGGCATTTAATTTTCGGTCGCCTTTATGTTTTGGCCAGAGATCGCTTGCTTTCGGTTTAAATAGAAAATATCCGTCCCATCAGTTTCTATGGTTTAAACTGAAACATCGAATACTACCCCCATCCTTGATGAATTTCGGTCCGAGGAGAAAAACGGTGCGACATCTATCGGTCACCACAGTCCAGAAATTTAGCGCAAAATCTTGCTACTTGCAAATTGAACATGACAAAAGTTGGCCAAGCGATACCACTGGAATGCGTGAGCAATCCACCCCAGTCCAGGAAACAAAGCACCCAGCACATGTAAATATGTTTTGTGTATGATTGGAGTTCATGCGAATGCTCATGGCCAATTAAGTTGGGATAACAGTGCTCACTGCGACACTGGGTATATAGCTCGTGATCAGCCAAAGTAGGTTGGGAATAGACCAATGACCTAAGTGTGCGTCATAACAAGGTCTCTTTTACGCTAACGAATACTCACGTTTGGAGTTTTAAACTCCCCTCGATGGATTTCATCAAGATTGTGCAGTGGGACAAAAACTGTCTGAGCTGATCTGCTTGACGTCTCAAAAGTTAATTTGACAGGAGCATCATGATAAAAATCGATTTGAGTACTTTCAGGAGGTCAAAGAATATGAACCAACCTCTCAAGACTTATGTATAAGCTCGGATCAATCGCACAGCTTCTCCCTCTTAGTTAACGCTTATAGCAAGGATCCAGAGACACATAGTCAAATGATATCTCTGTTAAACTGATCAGATGAGTTTCATCAGTGAGCAAGTTGTCTGACCAAATTAGTTACTTGTTAGGTCGAAGCGTGCTGTTTTGTCTATGTAATGGTTGACATAGACGTATACTGCACAAAGGTTCAATTCAGAAAGGATATTTTGAGGTTTATCATTTTTAATGCAACCCCGTTGACATATTTATGGACATTTGTACAAGCTTATCTTTTTGATGAAAAGTCATTTATCCACAGAGTCACTGAAAAATTGCAGCGTTACTCCGTACAACGAGCCCACTAATGGAGCCACTCTTACAAGAAGACAGTTTTGGAAGGAAAGTGCATTATCGTGTGATTCTTCCTTCGGAGAATTGGGCAAAACTAACCACCAAAGAAAGTACATCACTCATTAACTGGTTGATGAAACGGTTATTGCTGGTTTGCCATTCAACCGCATCTGCTAGCGGCGATCAGCTGGAGTGGAACTGGTCTGATTAGTTAGTTATTGGTCGCTGGTTTGTTGGGTGAGCTGGTCCGTTTGGTTACAAACGTTTCAACATCATAAGCAGATTTTTAGGGATCGGAATGGAGAGTAACGATTCCATCGTCGCTCTTTCACTCCAAGAGTGATAGAGATGCAAGTCTGAATGAAACAACAAACTACAAGCTTATATTAACTGCATCCATCAAAGTGACGCAGTTCTATTCTTGATCATTTATACAGTGTCGAGGGAAATAGGGGATTCTGTTGTTCCAGAGCACTACAACTTACTCACCAGGAACCAGTAGGAGACTGTTGTTCTTGATGAGGTTTATTAGTCGACAGTGCTAATTACGAATGAACAGTTTTGTGCTCGACGTCCCATTCTGCTTAACGCGGCTTGGGAACAGACTTGGTCTAGCCATACTGAAGCGTTAAACTTCTTGTCCTCCATTCGGTCATCAACGGGTACTTGCTAGAGCGTGATGGCTGAGGAACTCAACTATCCAACTGAATACCTTTGGATACCCCACTATAACGGAATAACTGCCTTGAGCGTACAGTTCACCAATCAAGCAAGAGGTTTTTGATTTCAGAGCTCCTTCGGTAATGCACTGGACACACTAGAGATCAAGCCCAATTTGAAGGTTTTTGAACTCAAACGTAGTTACTGTGCTTTATCAATAATGACGGAATTCACTATCCTTGGGAGTCATAACCCGAAAGCGCCTAAAGACCCTGAGAGATCTACATAATAATGGGTCAGATCACATTAACAAAAGACGTCCAGTTTGCACTCCGAAGAGATAAAGCTTTTGCGAACACAGGCGAGCAAGGAAATAAAGAGTGAAGGCACGGATAAAGGACTAATCGAAGCGACTAGCGGACAGTGACCACAGTGGCGGATACCAACAGTAATGTTTAGTTCTCGTGTGCACAGTCGTTCAGACCAACAAGTAACACTGTTCTCCAAGTATTATGCAGTTCATGTGAATTTCCTCGCATCGTAACATTCCTAGTTGAAGAAGGTACTTGAAATTGCCTGAAAACAAATGCGTACCTCCTGTCTGCGACTTCATCAGTCAAGCCAATATCATCTCATTCATCTCGCCTTCGACTTTAAAGGGTTACTTCTATGGTGTACATCGAATACAATCCTTGTTCAATGACTCCATCTTTAGACCAGTGGGATCCTGACATGACCATCTATCAGATAATATTTTCATGATAAATGCTGGAAGTTAGTTTTTCATAACCTTTGGCCAAACTGCTACTTCGCCGTTTTAACTCGGTCCACTCGGGAATACAATTTACTGTAGAGGCTGGATTCAGTAACAGTTTCCCGTTTGTTGACGTTTCCTTAACTCAGTACTGAACGCTACTCTGCGGAGACGTTTATGCCAGAAGCTGATGGAGTCGGGGCAGTATACAAACTTCTATAGCTCTATTGATAAGCTACGTAGGTGTAACCCAACGAAGTGTTTGGCAAACAGGGCCCAGAAAATTTGAAACGGTTAAGGGCAAACTGAATCGTATTCCCAGGCCCCTGATCAAAAACGGAACTTCAGATAAATTCATGCTGAGACAGTACGAAAGCATGGATGAGAATTCCGTCAGTCCACCTACGTTAAGCTTCCTATCATAAGCGATGCGATTTCCGAAGCAGTCACAAGAAAGCTACACCTTTCCTTAAAGAGTGCTTTTTATCTCACAGTTTAGGATTTACCTGAATGAAGATTGCTTTTATGATCTATTCCTTAGTTTGCGAAAATGGTGAAGGCTACGCAGGCGGTAATACTCGGCGCATGCATAACAGACTGACTGAGCATCTGTCGCTATGTAGCGTATCCAGCGAAATCAAGCGCGGCCCTGCATGAAGTGTTCAACATCACTTACCGACTGCCACGCAATCAATCCAAAGTTGTGCATCAAAACACACTCGCAAAGGCCGAAGTGATCACCATCAAATTACGCCAACATTCCGTCAAGAATGTCACGTGAAAGCACTGATTCCACCCTTACAGAATCCGATCACACAAATAAGAGCCACTTTTCCACCAGTAAGACTTGACAATTTTATCATTTACTGGAACCGGATCCACACTTCCAGATCAGTCTCCTGGAAGTGAACAACTCCAGAAAACCTTCTTAAATGTCATCCTCGTTATGATCCTGGAGGAAATTTAAAGATCAAACAAGCTCTACACAACAGCCGATGAGGTTTTGAACAATTGCCAAATTTGCTACGTGGAGTAAAGTGAAGAAGTTTTGAAAAAGAACACCAAAAATGCCAAGGAAAACCCAATTTTATCGGCTTCATGTCAGGCAAACAGATTTACATAACTTAATTGTCAAACCCAGAATAACAGCGGATGAGTTACCTCACTGGGACTGCTGCGTTGCATATCAGAAAATGCACGTGATTTTGGCACATCCACGATTCAAACGGACTCGCTGACAGACTAAAGACACTTGGACTTTGTCCCTAACCTAGCAGACACAGTCACATATCCTGCATACCGTCAAGAACAGAAAACTTGAGTTGAGATGAACTGCAAGTCCTGACTTGACACCATTTTTCAGGTCGTCTGACCACTTTCTCGCCCCATGTTTTCAAAACTGATCCAACGAATTAGACCAGTTTAGACATGTCGTCCACCTATTTTTCAAAATAATGAAGAATATTAGTCCAGCCGTGATATCTATTCGGTACGACTCCAAGGAAGTATGTGGGCTGGGCTACTGCTGGTTACTCAAGCCTCGAAAATCCACGAATTCGGGTGTGAACCATGGACACGATGCAGCTTAGTCTGTCTCATAACAGTTCGTTGGAGAGGAAATCAATGTACGCAGACTGAAAGGTACGCACCTAGTCCAAAAAGGTTCCCTGATAGTGAGTTTGGTGAATTGAATTGATGGTGTATTGAGCACGTTCCATTAAAACTCACCGAGTCTCTGTTATCCATCGGTGATGTTCGCATTGCATACCAGCGCATATTTATATAAAAATAGCAACCCTGTTTCATTTACAGGAGTCCCTTTTGCTGTGTGGTGGCGATTTGTGGGAGACGATGACTTGTTTGTTGATAACAACCTGACTACTTACGTGTTAACTAGTAGCAAAAATGTCCATTAATTCCAGCCAGCCTCAGCAGAACAAGCCGTGCGCATTGATCGCTGATTATAGTGTCAAATAGCCCCAACAGTTGCCGCATTTGGTTGCGCACATGACTGAAAACAAACCGGGAGGACACTCGACCTGAACCATCAGAGTGATACTTTAACTTTTCGAAGATATGCAGTCTTTCGAACAGCAACCAATCACCAAGGATTGTTAAATCGTTTCCGCTTGCAGGTACGAAACCGCGTTATGGGTGAAGGTAAAGCGAGCTAAACTCGGTCTAGCGAGTTCAAGATGTGCTCACATTCAGCCTGTTGGACATAGCTTTAAGGAGCATTCACTTTTTTCATGCCACACCTCACGGAGTCCACTGAAGTTGAGCAGCGAGTGTTCCGATATATGCAACTCTATCTAACTCATCACGT